AATGTAATAAGTGAGCACTGCTTTGATAATGTGTCTCTAGCAGGAATATTAAAGCACAGTGATGGCCGCGTGCAGCAGCATTCATAAGCAAAATCAGTGAGCGTCGCAGAACAACACAACGTAGCCTCTGCAGCCCTGACCCTTCAGATCAAAGCTGTACTGCAGATCTGAGCCTGTTCTCCCTTTTTATCCTCAGTGCTTCTGCTTCAACACGCTTCCCCCCCTCTGCCTCCTCCCTTTATCCTCCTCCCTCTCTCCCTCTCTGCTTCCTTCCTTTCCTCACTCAGTTTCTTTTTTCTGCTTTGTCACTGCTCTTCTGTGTGGAGATGGGCTGATGCTTGTGTTGTCAGAGGCAACACTCCCAGAGCACAGCACCTTGGGAAACATGTAAATCTGTTTCTTTTTCAACCCATCCCCCTTCTTTCCCATTCTGTCTTTTTATTGATTAAACGGTTGAACAGTGTCAGCAGATTGTTTCATTTATATAACGAGATCGTAGCTCTGAGGATATTCTTAACTATTCACCCTGTGTTAAAACAGTTTAACTTACATGTATGTGCAGTTTTTAGCATTCAAATTTGAGCTTAATGTCAACATGTATAGTCGAACCTGCACTATTGCATCCTGCCTATTGAATGTCACATTTTATTCTCATGCTTGGGTTTTGTCAGTCTAGCAATTTTTGCTGTTAGGCTGCCAGACTATAGTCATATTAGATTTTGAGGTATACAGCTCTGTTTGATAACTGGAGAGGGTGATACTAAAGTGCCTTGCTCTGTGGTTTTAGGTTTGGGACTATGAGGCAGGGGACTTTGAGCGAACTCTGAAGGGCCACACAGACTCTGTGCAGGACATCTCCTTTGACCAGACAGGAAAGCTACTGGCCTCATGTTCAGCTGACATGAGCATCAAACTTTGGGACTTTCAGGGGTTTGAGTGCATCCGAACAATGCATGGTAAGAGATGTTTACAGAAACAATAACAATGATTACAGTACAGGAAAAAAGGGGTGTAGCTAATGCACAAAAACACACATATTACAACTACTTAATTAAAATATACGAGCAATACTCTTTAAGTATTAAGATGGATGCAGACCGGTTTTAGAACTAAACTCTTGACTGTCGTCCAGGCCACGATCACAATGTGTCGTCTGTAGCCATCATGCCCAACGGTGACCACATAGTGTCCGCCTCCAGAGACAAGACCATCAAGATGTGGGAGGTGGCCACTGGGTAAGTCTTGTATCAACTTTCACTACCACAAACTCTCAGAGAGACTTAGATTGATGTAAGTTTACATTTTGAGCATATTTAGTTATGTATCCCATATAATATTACAATAGTTAACAATACATTTGTACTAAAATCAACTATTCAGAACTGCATACCCCACTTAACT